ATTTCGATATTAGGTTATATGAGTACCTGAATATAAACAGGTAATGATATGAGGTTTAGATGTACATGAGTACATGAATATGTTTAGATGTTAAGTGTATCTCTATGTGATCCATGTGAATACATGTGTGTCTGTTAAGTTATGTGACAAGATATATGTGATATATGAAAATATGATATAAGTTATGTATATGTGATGAGCTATGTGGCTATGTGAACATGTGGATATGTCTATGAGACATTAACTATATGAAATGTTCTATGCGTTTACATGAATATATGAAATGACATGAAAAGTTGATATAAGTTATGCGAAAGTGATATACGTGACTATATATACATGTGATTCAAGTTATATGACAAGTACAAATGATAATTCCCATGTTATGTGATATGAGAACTAGGGGTATAGTTGGCATGCCAAGAGTCGAGAGTTACATAAGTCATTCGAGACATATACATAGGTCTTTCAGGACATATACAGAGGTCATTCGGGACATATACATAGGTCCTTCGGGATATATACAGAGGTCTTTCGGGACATATACAGAGGTCCTTCGGGATATATTTCACATGCCACTCAGTGAATCCTTCTATGAGTTGTGGTGACAGCATATGTGTACAACCTCTATGCACTCACATACCTTAAGTTCTCAAAAGTATACATGGGATAATAAAGAAATAAAACAAATACATTGTATGTGATATATATATGTGTGACATGTTATGTGAAATTTATTATAAGGATTAGTGATAAGGTGGATAATAATGGAAATGGTAATAAATATATGTGTGCATATAAACTTCTTGTTGTATGATATTTACAAACATTTGTTAAGAAGTTATAGTTTTAATTATTCATTTATGTGTCTCACTAAGTCTATGACTTAGCGTGTGAGTATTTCACACGTAGGATCCGAGAAGTATCAAAGAGAAGATAGGTGGCGGAGACAGTATAACATCGACGATGATCAGATCAAAAGAAATTTATCAGTATGTCTTTTGTTATATTATATTTATATAATATTGGCATGTACTTAAACAATAAAATTGTATAATCTCTGAATAGTTTTGTAAACATTTTGAATTGATATATGTAAGTGTAATTATTATGTTTAAAGTAAATCTGAATTTTCCTCTACATTTAAATGATTTGAAAGGTAGATGTGACATCTCGGACTCGTATTCGGGTCAAATACGGGTTGGGGTGTTACAAGGAAGTTTGAGAGGCTATTAATTCGTCAGATAGCTTTAAGGCGTCAGGTCCATATGGTTTGAACATGGGGGTTTTTAAAAAATTATGGTCATCACTAAAGAAAGATATTTTCAAGTTCTTTGAGGATTTTTACTTGGGAAAGAAGTTGCGAAATGGTGTGAATCATACGTTTATCACGCTGATTCCGAAGAAGTCAAATCCAGTTGGAATTAAAGACTATAGGCCAATTAGTTTGGTAGGAGAAATGTATAAGATTTTGTCGAAAAGGCTTTCTATGAGGCTAAAGATGTGTTTAGATTCACTTATTGGCCATTCACAGTTCACATTTATCCCGGGAAGGAAAATCTATGATTGCTCTTTTATTGCAAATAAAGGCATCGACTACTGGAGGAAAAAAGGTATAAGAGGTATTGCTTTCAAAGTGGAGTTTAGAAAAGCTTATGATTCAGTTGATTGGACTGTTTTGATGAAGATTATGGAGCACATGGGGCCATAAATGGCGTTCTTGGATCTTTGAGTGCATTTCTTCAGCTATTATTTTGGTATTAGTTAATGGGTCTCCAACATAAAGTTTTAAGATATCAAGGGGTTTACGTCAAGGATGCACTCTATCACCTACGTTATTCAATTTAGTAGGTGAGTTACTTAACCTGATGTTGTCAAAGGCGGTTGAGTTGGGACTGTTTAATGGTTTTAAGATTGGTTACGATAGGAATTCGTTTTTGATATCTCATTTGCGATTCGTTGATGATTTAATTATTTTTTATGGCGCGTCTGAAGGACAATTGAAGAACATTAAGAGAATTCGTTGAATATGTCGAAAATTAAAAGTTTTGGGGTAAATTTGGATGTCTCGATTGTTAATGATTAGGCTGAATCTATTGGATGTAGGGTTGATGTGTTTCCAACGAAGTATCTCGGGCTCCTTCTTGGATATAAGCAAAATTCGAAAGTCTTATGGGAGTCGATTATCCATAGATTTTATCAGAGATTAGCTGGATGGAAAGCTTCAACGCTTTCCCTTGCTGGTAGGCTTGTGCTTGTGAAATATGTCCTTTCTGCGCTTCCTATATATTATATATCTCTATTTAAAATGCCTCTTCAAGTTTATAAATTTTTGAATTCAGTTATGGCAATTTTTTTACGGGGAAGCAATTTACAAAGAAGTAGAGTTCATTGGGTAAATTGGTCGCAAGTCTGCAAACAAAGACAGTATGGGGGACTGGGATCAATGATTTAAAGCTTATGAATAAAGCTTTATTGGGCAAGTTTGTTTGGAAATTTGGGAGCGAGAAAGAATCTTGGTGGAAAAGAATGGTGTGTTCTAAGTATGATTTTGATAGAAGGGATATAAGGTTGAGTTATACTCTGTCCGCCCAGTCTTCTTGGCTTTGGAAGGGAGTTTACAATAATTTCTAGTCAGATGACATTTTTAGCAAAGGACTTCACAATCATTTATTGTTGCAAGTAGGGAAAGGGAATTCGATACGATTTTGGCAGGATGAAACGATCAGTAGCCTTCCTCTGAGGTTGAGATTTCCTAGGCTCTTTGCTCTATCGGTTAACAAAGATAGTTTTATATCATATTATGGGTCGGTTAATTACAGAAGATGGGTGTGGGACATTCAGATAAGAATAAATCTTTTTAATTGGGAGGTGGGACATTGGGTGGAATTTATTTCGTTATTAGACACTGTTAGTGTGGGTGCAGGTGATGATGATTGTTGTGTTTGAAGAGGAAATGGGGAAGGAGTTTATTCGGTTCAATCGGGTATAAAATTAGCTTCAAGCTCTTTGGTTCCGGATTCGATTTGGTTAAAGTTTGTTTGGGCTGGTTTAGCTCCTCCTAAAGTTGAAGCATTTCTTTGGCAGATTTTTCACCAAAAATTGTCAGTTAAGTCTTCTTTGATTAGGAGAGGTGTTAGCGGAATTGATGATCCTCTGTGCCCATTATGTGGGTCGGATGTGGAGTCGGTTTGTCACTTATTCTTCTCTTGCAGATTAATTTGGGGTGTATGGTGCATTTCTTGAGGATGTGGAATGTGACCTTACGTTGGCATATTTGCACAAGGGTTCGTTGAAGAAATTTCCTCTTTTGATTGGTTAGTGTCCTCTTCTATCGGGCTGGTTTAAAGTAAATGTGGATGGGGCAGTGAGCTGTGATTGGAGGTGTAGTGGAATTGGTGGGTTGATTAGAGAATCAGAAGGTAAGCAGCTAGGGTCTTTCTCGGTCGCAGCTGGACCTGGTCTGTCGGTTCTGGCTGAACTCAAAGCTATTAAAGTAGGACTAAATATGTTTTTGGACTCGAAGTGGAATGACAAGGGGCGTCTCATCTTGGAAAGGGATTCTTTGGTTACTGTGAATTGGATTAAAAATTCAGAGTGTTATCCTGTTGTGTTTAGTAATCTAGTAAAAGAATTAGCTACGACTGTGTTGGTTTCCAATGTGTTACTTAGGTTTGTAAAGAGAAGTAATAATTGTGAAGCTGATAGTTTAGCTAATGCGAGAATTGGGTAAGGTTTGTTGTGTTTTGTGTTCTGTTTTTTGGTTTTTGTTGGGATTGTAATTATCCTGTCATGGGATATGTGTGTTTATGAGTAAGGTTGTAATCTACGGAGTGTTTACCTAGGTTGTACTCTTTGTTGATATTAATAAATTTCAGGCTCTTTTCCTCCTTCCAATGCCCGTTAAGATACTTTATAACTTAACGGTTAAGAAGGGGATTTTAACAAGACCTATTTCCTAAAAAAAGACACTTTCATTTTGATAACCAATTTTTTATTTTTGATATTTTATTATTAAATCTCAACATATGCTACCATGGCCTTTCACCCAATAAAACTTACTTTTGTATATCAAATTTCGTTCGTAAATTATTTTAGTGACAAAGGAGAATATTATTCTTTTTATAAGTCTTGTATTCGAGCGATTACGTCTGATGGACATGTATGTATTGTTATTAAGTTAAGAAAATTCTGAAATTGAATTCAGTATTGTATCCAATAGCAAAAATGACAATATTTGTTTCAATGGCATAGTTTCTTCATCAAAAACCAAACCATGTCTACAAAAGTCAAAGCTTTGTGAATCTTTAATAACAATGCTTTCTTCTCTCAATCTGTAGAAGAAATTCTCTAGTGTTGGAGTCTCGTGGACTCTAATGTATGAGCCCGAACCCGGCCTCCAACTGTGTCCTCGACTTCGAACACGACCAGCTTGAAACTCGTCTCCGAGACGTATCATCCAAAGAGAAAAAGGAAACAGAACCCTAGCTCGTGCGGATGTTGCGGCTACGCATCATCCAAAGAGAAGGAACTGGACAATCTTGTATGACATGTATAAAGAGAATCAGTATCTAAATCCTAATCCTAATCCTAATCCTAATCCATTGTGATTTTATGTTAAAATTAGAAGAAATGAATCATTAACAATCTATTTGTTCTCATTACTTTTAAATATATATTTTAAAAATTAATATTAAAAAATAAATAATAATTTTTTTAAATGACGGTATCTGTATAAGAAGACCATATAGAGTTGCGTGAGAGAATGCATTAGTATATGGTATGGGCAGCGCAACTACGCATTGGAGCGCGTGACGATTGCCCCGGGATTAGTTATTATTAGTGCCATCATCCCATGATTATCTTATGTGACTCAGCAAATCACCAACACTAATCCTTCTCTTTGTTTCTCTATCCCCCCCCCCCAATCACTTCCCATTGTTCCACTCTATAAGGCACTGTCTTCACAATTTTCAATCTGTTCGTACAAAGCAACCAACCCCCACTGCCTCCTTCCATGTCCGATTCCCCTCTTCTTTACTCACTCACCTGAAGCTTTCGACTTCCTTCTTCTTCTTGTACTACTTCATCTTCCAGTTCAAAGGTACAGAGCACATATGCGACTGTTTTCATTTTTCTAAGCGAACCCATCATCATTAATTTATGAATCAATGTATTTTTAACAGATATGTCAGGCTCAAAGATAGTGCGAAGAGGGATTCATTATTTGCAAAGCTAAAAGCTGCGAATATACCTTCTGATTTGATAGAACATGGCCAAAATCGTGTTATTGATGCTTCTCTTACTCTTATTGGAGAGAGGGCAAAGCTCAAGGTTTTTTTTTAATATATAACTTAAACTGATTGATTCTCTTGATTCCCCTTTTAAGGCTTTTGAACTTTATAATTGATATTATTTCCAGGGACAACTTGTGCGTGCTTTGGGTGGCGCTTTAGCATCAACAACACTGCTTGGAGTTCCCTTAGGACATAATTCATCCTTTCTTCAAGGACCCGCTTTTGCACCTCCTCGTATTCGGGAGGCTATCTGGTGTGGCAGCACTAATTCTACCACTGAAGAAGGTGGCCTCTTCTTTTCCTTTCAGTAATGGATGTTATCATGTAATTATATCCCTCATATGAGAATATATATATATATATATATATATATATATATATATAGTCCCGATCCTGACATTTTAAAGACCAGGTGATGACAAGAAAATAAATGAGTGTCCACACTTAATTTTCCTTTCAATCATTAAAATAGGGTCCATTGGATCATAATGTTTTCGAGTTTTTTAATAAAAAATGATGTTTAAAAATATTTTTTAATTATTGGGCCTTATTGAATTATTATATTCTCGAGTGTTTGAAAATAAAAAATATATTTAAAAATATTTTTTAATTATTAAACTTAAAAATATTTTAAAAAATGGGTCTTCTAAACTTGGGGCCTTAGGCGGTCGCACCCTGAACTATGTTCAGGGTCGATCCTATATATATAATTTATTTTATTATTGTTGGTACTGGCCTATATTACTTAGATTTAGGTGTTAGTGTCGGATATGATTAAGTGTTTGACACCTGTATAATCAAAATTTTCTAAGCTTTTTATTGTATTTGGAGGACCATATCTCTTTACTCGTGTCTGAATATGGGTCAAAAACTAATGTTGTGACATGCAGGGATGGAACGAGGGGGCGGCCGGGGCTGTCGTTCCCTTGGAAATTTCAAATTATCATATATTTTAGATAGTTTCTTTGTATTTTGGACAATGTGACGATGTGAATTTTGGACATATTGTGATGGAAGTGGTTGGCATTTGGAATCTAAATTGTAAACAGTTAACCTGTTAATAATATTCTCAACCTGTGTTCCTTAGTCCTGCAGGTAAGGAACTAAATGATCCACGGGTGCTAACTGATGTTGGTGATGTCCCTGTTCAAGAAATCCGTGATTGTGGTGTAGAAGATGATCGATTGATGAAGGTCATAAGTGAATCTGTCAAGCTAATAATGGAGGAGGTGAGTTGTTGTTTAGTTTCTTTCTTCTGAATTACTATGATTGATTATGATTGGTGTTGTTGTGTTGGACCGTATACATATATAGATCTTGATTTATAGACTGTTCGAAATCTGGAATTTTGTCCCGGAAACAATCTTGTGATCATCTATGTGTTGAAATAGGTTGAATCTTGCTTTCCACTAGTTTTTCAGTTTAGCTTCTTTCTTCTGGATTACTTTGATTGATTATGATGATTGTGGTTGTGTTTAACTGCTTACATTAAAAGGTCTTGGACTTGTACACATTTCGAACTCCTGAACTTTGTCTCAGAAACAATATTGTGATCATCTATGTGTTGAAATAGGTTGAATCTCGCTTTCCACTATTTTTTTGGTTTAGCTTCTTTTTTAAGGATTGCTTTGACCGATTATGATGATTGTTGTGTTGAACTGCTTACGTTTAGATCTTTGATTTATACCCAATTTGAACTTTGTTCTGGAAACAATCCCGTGATCACCATGTGTTGAGATAGGTTGAATCCTGCTTTCCTCCAGTTTTTCGGTCATCTCTTTTAGAAATTTTTTATCTGTTAAATATTTCTCACCAATGCATTTTGTTGAGTGAGGGAAGATCATTAGTGTTCTGGGAACCTTTTATCATGATGCTTGTTGCAATCGACATAGATGAATCTTAACTTTTTTCAATGTCCATGCTTTCAGGATCCATTACGCCCATTAGTTTTAGGTGGAGATCATTCAATATCTTTTCCTGTTGTAAGAGCAGTCTCTGAGAAGCTTGGTGGATCTGTTGATATACTTCATCTAGATGCTCATCCTGATATTTATGATGCTTTTGAAGGAAATAAGTATTCACATGCATCTTCATTTGCTCGAATTATGGAGGGTGGTTATGCTAGGAGGCTTTTGCAGGTAAATTTAACAAATGTCTGTCATGGTTAAGTTTTCTCAAAAGTATTTTACACATTCATGTTTTGTATATCTTGGATTGAGATAGTGAGTTTTGCAACTTCTGATTTTCCGTCACCTCCGTATTTTGTTTACCTTCTTTTCGAGAAGTCATGTTTGTAGTGCCTCAAGTTCTTCGATGACAGAATGATGAGGTCTCTTATATGTTGTTTTAGTTGTTTCATCTTTGCGTTTACAGTCATTCTGTTGTTTCATCTTGTTTTGCAAACTAATTGATCAAGTGTGCTGTTATGGTAGGTTGGTATTAGATCGATAAATACCGAAGGGCGCGAACAAGGAAAAAGGTTCGGAGTGGAGCAATATGAAATGCGGACATTTTCAAGAGACCGTCATTTCTTGGAAAACCTGGTCTCTCTCATTCTTTTCCTATTTTCCTTACTGTTATCTAGTTTGCCCCACACACGACTATATTGTGTTTTCACTCATGAATTCGTTGCAGAAAATGTTTTCTAAAATGGAGAGCTTTAGAATTGAAAACTCGAAAAGCTGTTGTTTGGTTTGATGGAGACTAAAACCTAATTAGAATTTGAGACTAATAATACATTAGTGTGTACTTTGACAGAAACTAGGGGAAGGAGTAAAAGGTGTTTACATTTCAGTGGACGTGGACTGTCTTGATCCTGCATATGCTCCGGGAGTATCTCACATCGAACCGGGAGGCCTTTCGTTCCGCGATGTTCTCAACATTCTACACAATCTTGAAGGAAATCTGGTTGCTGCCGATGTCGTGGAGTTTAATCCACAGCGAGACACGGTCGACGGGATGACTGCAATGGTTGCTGCTAAGCTTGTAAGAGAACTGACAGCTAAGATGTCAAAACTTTCGTCTTAAATTCTGGTAAGCAGGCCCTGAAAAGGAATAAGAGAAGGCCATATTTGCTCTAAGTTCAACCTATGTTTTATTTTCTGGTAGCTTTTAGCTTTAAAATTATGACAATAACTGCAATCTTATAGCTGAGTAAGATTTATACTGTTCCCACTCTATTTTGTCTTGGATGATATCTGTACTCGACTCATTTTAAGAAATATGGAAATAAGAAATTTAATTTATAATTCCATTTTAAGTGAATGACCTTGTTTTATAGCATCATTTTTTATATAAAATAATATTATTTGAGGGATTATAAAATATAAAAATATAATTAAAATAAAAATGAAATAAAAGAAAATTGTGATTATAAAAACAAAAATATGATTCATATTAAAATATTTTCTTTCAATTGTGTTTACTATGATAAAAGTATTATTAAATTTAATTAACATCTAAATTACTATGTATGAATTTATGATTAATATATGTTTGATTCTGTTGGATGAAAAATATTTTATATAAAAATATACTTTTAAAATTTATAAGTAGAATGGTAAATGCTTTGTATATAAATTTACTAATTTTGTATTTGATCAATAAGTGATGATTTTAATTGTTTTATTTAAATATAAGATATATTATAATGGTACAGTGGTAAGAAGGAACTTTTAACGTTTGTCGTTTTTATTTATTTATTTATTTTAATTGTGTTTGTTTAATGTTTTGTTACAATTTAAATTACAATTTTTTATTTTTAAATTTTTTTTTATTTTGATTTATAATTTTAATTTATTTAAATAAAATAATTAAAATATATAATTTAATGATCAAACACTAAATCAATGAGTTTATGTATAAATCATTTATTACTCTTTTTTAATAATCCACTGAATGATTTTTATAAATATAGTAGATAAAATCAGTATTTAAATTACATTGAGAATGAAACTAATTATATTTAATATATTCTTAAATTAATTTAAATTATCTATTATATTCTTCCATAAAACGTTTCACAAATACTCCAGAAATTAATACGTTTTAGCATTGCTGGTTGCTTCTTCCTCCACATAAATATCTGTGCTCCGAATCTTCCTCCAGAAATTGAATTGTTGCTAAGGAAAGATGATGGCTTATTCTTCAGCACCTCCCCTCTCTTCTTTGTTTTCCTCAAACACAATCAACAACCCTCCATCTCCAACTGCTTCGTTTCCAGTTTCAAAGCTGCTTTTCTCATCTTTGTCCCCGAAGTTTTCGAGAAAAAAGAAATGGGTCTCACGCAGAAACAGATTTTATCTGGCCAAACCACCTGAACATGATTTGGTAGACACGAGGCAGCCATCCCCACAAGTTTCTACACAAAGTGCTGGCGATGATGATGCCAATCCATCCACCAGTTTCTTATCTATACTTTGTCCTCTTCTCAGATTATTCTCTGTATGTCTCGCTCTCTTCTAGAATACTCTGTCCTGTGAATTTTTGTGATATGTTTTAGGTTCCATGGTTTATTTCTTCTCTCATAATTATTTTTTACCAAGTGAAAGATTTAGCGCCTTATCTGTTAGGAATTTAGTCTAAGGGTTTCAGGACCATCAGTGTTCATATTACACAACATATATCATTTAACAACTGACACGAATACCCGAATGCTAGAATTTCTATTGTCTGAATGTTCAAAATCAGGTTCCCGTGTTGACTTGTTTCTTCTTTATTAGTTTCTTGACTGTGCTTTCTGTTTGAATTTGATCCATTGGTAGCTAATGCCGTTGATTTTCTGTCTTTCTGCTGCACTGTTAATGCATTATCACTTTGGAAAGCTGCTGTAGCTTTAAACAAAAAAATTTCCCTTTCTTCTCGTATTTAGAACAGATTTAATTTTTTAGTATACGAAGTTATAAGTGTGTTGTCTTTCTCCGTAACTATCCATCTCTTGCCTTATTAATGCTTTTTGAATTGTGGCTTGCAGGGAGGAGATCCCTCCCAAGAACGGAATCATGCTCTGGAGGTAACCCCTTTTAAGAGTCACCCTTTTTCTCATCACTCTTATATCATTTAATTCTTTTCCTGAACTATTGTTTTTGCCCTTTTATTTTACTTCCTTAAGTTTCTTCAATGTTTTCTTTACATAAATGATAACTGCAGAGCCAGTTTTCTTTACATTTCTTTCATCGGTGTTTGCATGTGCAGAAAGTTTTAATTCTTTACTTTTTCTGGCTCAATAGTAGGTAGCAACATCTTCCTTATCCACATTGGCAAGATTTCCATGGGGATCAAAATCACTATTGGAGGGCATAGAGAGCGAAGATATAACCGTTTCTGATCCTTCAACTCATCTACAACTCTTTGAATTTGGTAAGCTTCTTTATACCCATGAGGTGCGGTCATCATATTCATTTGCTTATAAAAGGCCAAAATGAGAAAAGTTGCTTTCTTCTACATTTTACCTACGGGGTTCAAGTTTAGCAATGTGACTTACTTTGTTTTAGCTTAGTTTTCCTTATTCAGTGTTTTGGTTGCATAAGTGGATGGAAGAATGAGCTTTAGAATTGAAAATTAGCATGTTGGAATAACCAAGTTCTTATGCCTTGTAAAAATAATCATTACTTTTGGGAAAAGTTTGATTGAATTGCTTACTTCAATTGGCATTTTCTGAAATTGAAGGTTTTCACTTTATTAAATATCTGATTTTTGTAAACAGAAGCATGCCCCTTTTGCAGAAGGGTTCGAGAAGCATTGACAGAGCTGGATCTTTCTGTAGAAGTGAGAACCACAAGATGTCTTTTTAGAAAATTCATTGTCTATCACAATTGACTTAAGTTTTATTAGCTTCTGTTCAGTTTGATGAAACATTTTATGTCTGATTCAAAACAGTTGATGCAAACAAACAAGATTTCAGTTGTAATTAGGGGGAAACAGTATTTCACTGCAGCCTATTGCAAGGTTGGATTGGATGGGTTAATCAGATCGGAAGATAATGCAAATCCGTAGTCAACCTAAAAGACATGAAGTTAGCTGATTTGGTGCCATAAAGTTTGTGTAGGATTACAAATTTTACAAAACTGTTTTTACATTGCTTAACCAGAAAATTCCCAGAGTATGTCTTGTTATAAGTTAAAAGTGTCAATCTTATATTTGATGATTTATTCTGGTTATTAGATTTCTGATAATATAGGAGTTTGGATTTAAAAATTCGTATTTCTGTTAGCTTCTTTCGTCCTAAAAGATACTGTTCAGATAACAGCTTATGTACATACAGGTTGGGGGTGGGGGCTGAATTAAACGATATAAACATATTTGGATGATTCTTAGGCGTTTCAATGTTTATTGCACCTTTAGTATGATTGGAACGGACTCTGGTATGCCCTAATCTACACTTTATATTCGTCTTCTTATAATAAATAAAGGGACTAATGCTTAGGAGTTTTTATCACATACATAATACATATCCTCCCCATTTTGACTAGATTGACAGCATCTTGTATCTTTATCACTTTTATGGGAAGTAGCTTTTTTAATGTTTTGATGTTACCTACTTTCATGCATTGTGATACAAAGTTTTTGCCATTTTTGTACAGGTCTATCCCTGTCCAAAAGGTTCTTTAAGACATAGAGAAATGGTTAGAAGCTTTGGTGGAAAAGAGCAGTACGTGGTTCTCTATCTTATAGTTGTTCTTTGGTTGTATGAAGATGTTTTCTTTGATTTTTGGTTGGTTTATTGCTTGGAAGTTTTTAAATCGGATTGAAACTCGAGATATCTTGAATATTATCAATTTCAAATCTTAATGTGATTTTGTAAATTTGTGTTTATATTATTGTTAAACTTATTTACCCAAGCATAATTGGCCTTGGTTTCATCAATCTTATATGAGGCTTTTTTTGGGGGAAAAGGGAACAATTAATGTCATTAAGTGTGTCTCCTTTTTTTTCCTTTTAAGGAATTTTAAAGTTTCTGAAGTTATCGTGCAGGTTTCCCTTCCTCATCGACCCGAGTGCTGGGATATCAATGTATGAAAGTGGTATGTTGAGAATCTTTTACCTCACCTTGATGATTGTTTTGTTCAAATGTTCTCCATAAATCATGAATATGTTTAATAATGAATCGAGGATGATAATCATAGGTTACGTATGAGAATGATTTTAAATTTATATATCATGATATTATATAATATTATGTAATAATGGTTTTAATCCCTGCCACATTTGTAGTCAAGCAACTAACCAGCTGAATTAGTCCATGATCTATCAAAGTTTTACTTGACAATTTTGTGAGCATAAATCAACATGATCGAATTGTTTGCTCACCTCTTATGGGTGTAAGTACACTCATATTTTCCTAACTTTTCTGTGTATTTGGAGGATCCTTGGATATTTACATCTCCATATTCATTTGTTGGACATGGATGCTTTAAGAAAAATGAAGTTTCGGGTCTACATAGGATTTACTTATTTGTCCCTACCACATATACATTCTTACAAAGTCCAGTTTTCTAGATCTTATTAAAGAAATTCATTCCGATGGGTATGGTTCTTGCATGTCTCGTTCTTTTTTCTATATATTAATGGTGGCCATTGATGCTGATCATTAACGAGAGATAAACATGCAGAGAACATGTATCTAAAGTTCTGCATCTGCAACTTTTGACGAAATGCTGATCATGTGGTTTTGACTTGAAATGAAAACATCATATTCTTTTCCCATGAACACATCGGGAGCTTTATGCATACCTATATCTACACAAGTCAATGGAATCTAACATGATCCCTAGCGGGCTGCTCTTATTTATAAGTAGTTATAGAGTTACTTTATATGGGAACCTGTAAAACAGTAGTGGAATCATTCTCTATATGCTTTTTTGACCGTCATTATCAAAATTTGCTGAACTTGCCTTTTCCGGTAGGTGATATAGTCAAATACCTATTCAAGACCTATGGTAAAGGGAGAAGCCCCTCGACAGATCTTTTAGAAAGGTATGGTAATCCAAAAGTTACATTTCGTGAAGCATATCAAATATCTGTTCAAGTGTGTAAACCCAAAACCCAGCATCTAAAGGTGGAAGACAAAAAGAGAAACTTTATTTGGGAGCATTTTTTTTTGGTATGAGACTATGTTACTCAACTGGGACACGAGTGTCAGATATGGAGAGCGAAATCAACATGTTATATTTTTGTCTAAAGGTGCTTAAATTATAGATATGCACTTGAATCAATATCAAACATGTTAAGCGACAGAGTTAAAATGTTTCATGCGTTATTTCATTTCTTTGATTTGTAAGAACTGTAGTTTGTGTCTAAATTCTTAATTAGTTCTCTCACAATGTTGCAAATTGCAGCACATTGTTCACCGGATGGATGCCAACAATTCTTCGAGCAGGCCGAGGAATGATGCTATGGGATAAGGCAAGGAAAGACCCACCGCCAAGAAAGCTTGAACTTTTCTCATATGAGAATGATCCGGTAAGATATATTGATACTCTCTGCATTGATATTATTCTTTTGCTTAGCTTTAAGTTATGCCTTGTAAACTGTTTCTTGGATTCGGATGTGTCAGATATGTGTCTTACATGGGTATATTTATATGTTTTTAATGTTTCTTTATATATTTCGAGGATCTTTGGAGGGCCATATCCCTTTAGGGTCCATATCCATGTCAGACACAAGTATTGGACACGAATGCTTCAAGAAAAATGAAGTCATCTGTTGATTCTTGTATTGGAGTAAAGCGTTATTATCCTTTGGATACTCAAAAGTTCTCATTCTTTTGCTATTTTACAGTATTCACGAATTGTACGAGAGGCACTTTGTGAACTTGAACTTCCTTACATCCTTCAAAACGTGGGAGAAGGGTCTCGACGGACTAAATTACTCCTCGAGGCATCTGGATCCAAACAGGTTAGGTCCTTGATAAATTCATATGATCTTTTAATTGAAACGAGCGTAGTGATATTTATATATAGCATTTGCTCGCTCATGCACAAAGCATCAGGTCCTATGCGGTAATAGCAATGAGCCACTTGAAACTTGGCTTTATGTTGCTGGATCCGGCACTCATGTCCGATCAGGGACGGAGCCAGAAGCTGATAGTGGGAGGCATAGCCTCTCCCACTTCAACAAAAATAAAGATTTGAAGCAATGCAACGAGGTTTGAATTACTAACAAGTTTTGATCATGCTTTGCAGGTTCCATATATAATCGATCCGAATACGAATACTCAATTTGGAGATTACAAGAAAATACTGTCATATTTGTTCAATACATATTCTTCAGCAGCCACAGTATAGGTTTTTGACATTTAAGTTCTAATCTACTTTCATCTCTGTCGTGTTAAAAACAGCCTCAGACACAGTACTAGCAATTGAAACTGTTGTTTTTTTTTTGGGAACTTAGTAAACTTCCACTCATTTGTATGTGATTTCATAACATGTAAGCATGACAATAGGTACGGAACATAATCCGTCAAGATTTCTCTAAATATATATATATAAAAGAAGTAATCGTATATGTCGTAACCGGTTTTCGTCCGGGCACGAATTTTTTACTTGGCGGGAAAAGTGATATGAATAAATGATTTTTTTTAAAATAATTTGGGAGTCGCCATTAGCCTTTTGGGTCAGGTAGTCGAATATCTAAAAAATCATCTTTTAAAAGATTTTTTAAGAAAACATCGATTAAAAGATAAATTGATCTGTGTTTTAACTAAAAAATCATTCTTTTTAATAATAAAAGAGATTCGTGGTTGGTTACGTTTAGGGAAGGATTAGCACTCCTACAACGCCCAAAATTGGTACTTTTTAATTATAAATTATCTCTATTATTTTAAATTTAAAAATTCAAAGATATATTTAATTCATAATTAAGTTATTTCAAATAATTTAAAGAAAATATATTAATATGTATAAATAAAATATTTATTTATTTAGAAATATCAAAAAAGGGCTTCTAGGTGCTTTAAGACAGTTCTTTTCTTCGATATTAATAAATAAATAATTAAAAACACATTTTTTTCTAAAAAAAATAATTAATATATAATTTATAAAAAAAGGATATTTATTTATTTAAGAATATCAGAAAAGAACTTCTAGGTACTTTAAGACAGCTCTTTTCTTCGATATTAATAAATAAAATAAATATTAAAAATGTAATAATTTTTCATAAAAATGATTTAAATAAATTATAATTTTTATAATATTTAATATAAATATATTTATAAGACTAAGATAATAATAAAATAATAATTAAAGCCATAATTAAAATATAAAAGTGATAACCAAATAATATTGTAATTAAATAATGATCAAAATAAAAGAAATTAAAATTATAAAACTAAATATAAAGTATCAAAAATAAAGATAATAATTCGAAATATTATGAAAGATAATGGTTAATAGTGTAATTTAACCTAATTAATTAATTTGGGATATAAATATAAATTAATAAAATTATAAGGGATTAAATCGGTTATTTACCCTAAAGTATGTAATTATGCTGGAAATGACTAAAATAATATAAAATTAAATTAAAGAACCGAATTAAAAGGATTATAAATTGATTTAGTGACTAAAATGTAAGGATTACAAATTAGGATGGCTGCGAAAAGGGTTTCACCGTTATGAAATTACACAGATACCCCTCCCCAAAACGGCGTCGTTTAGGAAGGGGTATAAATACCCTAAACGCCTGGCCCGAAGGGCCAAGCTTCCTCATTTCTGCTTTCTCATTTTCTCTCTTAAAGAGAGATGTGAGAAATCTCTCTGCCCTCTCTCTTCCTTCTTCCCGCCGGAGGCTGGCCGACCAGCGACCGGCAGCCTTACTCTACCATCGACCACCACTGCCGGCCACCGTGAAACGGTGGCCGGAGTTAGGAAAATTAGCCTAAACCGTAGATCTCTACATCCTAAGGTCGAATACGGCCTCTATTTATCCTAAAAATCCTTAGAAATTCCTAGATCTAAGATTTTACCTTCGAAATCCGAAGGTTTCCGGTGATGTTTCGAGTGCCTCCGATGACAAAGTAAGCTCTCTCTTCTCTTCTCTTCTCTTCTCTTTTCCCCTTTTTTTTATACTGGTTCGTCGTTGACTGAGATCGTTGGTAGTTTTTCTTCTCGTGGTATCTCGTTTCTGTTTGTTGTGCTCTCTTTTCGTTTCTGTCTGTGTTTTCCCTTCTGTTTTTTGTGGCTGTCCCTTTTCTTTCGCAGGTGGTCGATGGCTTTATAGCCATCATCAAGACGCTCATCGGACCGGTTAAAGGAAAGGAGTTTGGTGAGTAACCGAGCTATGTGGTGACTCACCATAGAGCTCGACATGGACGGTCGGTGTTGTGGCAACAAAGCTTCTGGAGGCTTCTTCGAGGTGGCTTCGTGGCACTGGTGGAGTGTCGGCAACGGACGTGTGGCCTTCTGGAATCAACGGCAGCGGCTGAGGACTTCTGGAGGCGGCGGATGATAACCTAGGGTTAGGAAACCCTAGGGCTTCCTTTGCTGGAACCATCTGGGCCGTTGGATCAAAGCCAGATCCAACGGCTGTGAGTTGAGGCGGCTGGCTGCTGGGATGATGAAACCCTAGCTAAAAACCCTAAATGTTTTAGGGTTTTCCTCTAGTTTGGGCCAACTGTAAATGGGCTTTGTAAATGGGTTTTTTTTGTTGGGCTTCTGATGTAATTTGTAATATATATATATATATATATATTTAATAATAAATAATAATAATATATTAATAATAATATTTATAATAATAATAATTTTAATAATAATAAACGAAAAATTAGTGTTTACAGATGCCCCTCTTTGCTCATTCTTGTGTTAACAAAAATAGAGCAAAGACGAAAAAAACAATAATTTTTCATTTGACTTCTTTTGAGTAAGACTGAAATGTTGAAAACATCATTCCAGAGGCCTTAAAAACATCATGCACTAAGGGCTTACAGATGACCCTAAGGCTTTGAAAACATCAAAAAGCTCCCGAAGGCTTTTTGGAAACATCATACACTGCAGGACTTACAGATGACCCTAAGGCTTTGAAAACATCAAAAAGCTCCCAAAGGCTTTTTGGAAACATCATGCACTGTAGGACTTACAGATGACCCTAAGGCTTTGAAAACATCAAAAAGCTCCCGAAGGCTTTTTGGAAACATCATGCACTGTAGGACTTACAGATGACCCGAAGGCTTTGAAAACATCAAAAAGCTCCCGAAGGCTTTTTGGAAACATCATGCACTGCAGGACTTACAGATGACCCAAAGGCTTTGAAAACATCGAAAAGCTCCCGAAGGCTTTTTGGAAATATCATGCACTGCAGGACTTACAGATGACCCGAAGGCTTTGAAAACATCAAAAAGCTCCCGAAGGCTTTTTGGAAACATCATGCACTGCAGGACTTACAGATGACCCGAAGGCTTTGAAAACATCAAAAAGCTCCCGAAGGCTTTTTGGAAACATCATTCACTGTAGGACTTACAGATGACCCGAAGGCTTTGAAAACATCAAAAAGCTCCCGAAGGCTTTTTGGAAACATCATGCACTGAAGGACTTACAGATGACCCGAAGGCTTTGAAAACATCAAAAATCTCCCGAAGGCTTTTTGGAAACATCATGCACTGCAGGACTTACAGATGACCCGAAGGCTTTGAAAACATCAAAAAGCTCCCGAAGGCTTTTTGGAAACATCATGCACTGCAGGACTTACAGATGACCCTAAGGTTTTGAAAACATCAAAAAGCTCCCGAAGGCTTTTTGGAAACATCATGCACTGCAGGACTTACAGATGTGGGAAATAGTTTACTAAGTAAGAAACTATGAAAATCGTTTTCTTACTTTTCAACAATTTCATTTTTAGAAAAGATTGAATGAGAAACTATAGAAATCGTTTTCTCATTATTTTTCAAAATAACATGTTGATTGGGTAAAATGCCCCAATCTCAAGATAAGGCTGTTAGAAATAGTTTACTAAGTAAAAAAACTAAGAAAATCGTTTTCTTACTTTTCAACAATTTCATTTTAGAAAAGATAAAATGAGAAACTATGAAAATCGTTTTCTCATTCTGTTTTTTTTAAATAACATGTTGATTGGGTAACATGACCCAATCTGAAGATAATGCTCATTTTTGTGGATTGCATACATCTCTTCTTCAGATGTTTGCATGATTCCTGTATTTGTGGTTTTGAATACCTTCTTTGTGTAAAGTATTTTTTACCATGAATCTTCTTGTTCTTTCGAAGATCTATAAAACTTATGTTTGAATGCACTCAGATGTATCAATGTAATGCATTGTCTATTGTGTAAATGATATTCTTATGAATGCATGAATGTTGATGCAATCTTCATTTGACTTCAAAGTGGTGAACTAGGACTTCCTTCACTTCATCATTTACTTCCAGGGTCACCTCTGGATATCAGTGTAGAAACTTATGCTGTCAGGCTTGCATTTTTACAGAATCATCTGATCAACTTGTATCTTTGTGCTTTCTTTGCTTCATTTAAGTTTCAGAAGAAATGTTTCATTTGTGGAACTCTTTCCGTAGTCAGAACTATGACTTTGATGCCCCATTTTGTCTTTGGTAACACCGGTTTTCTTTGTCTGGACTTGTGTAGAAATCCAATAAAGCTTTCATCTTTGAAAAGAGAATCTATCATCTTTAAAAAGAGAATCTATCATCTTTGAAAGAGAATCTATCATCTTTGAAGAGTGTAGATGTAGATATGCCTGACTCAGTAGGGATTAATTTGGAGAGTAGAGTTTGTTCTAATTTAACTCTTGAAACACATCACAAGGAAGATTTATTCCAATTCCTTTCATGTCTCCACATATAATCAGATCTCGAATAAAGCAACTTGGACCATATCATGTCGATATGCTTAACAACAACCTGTAGTTCAACCTTAGTTGGCACCACTAGTTTCTTGTTTAAAATTTCAGTTCTCCTTCTGTGGAAAGAAATCTTCATCATATCTCATTTCTAATCTTGGGGTTGAAGAAGATAAAATTTATCTTGGGGTTCCTTATTTCTACTATGAGCAAATTCATCTTTCAAATCCAATGATTGGTTTTGGGGTTCATACCAAACCAGATCAGATAACTCAAACAACACTTCCAGAAGATGCTATTGGGTCTTCTTATTTCTACTATGAGCAAATTCATCTTTCAAATCCAATATTGATTTTGGGGTTCATACCAAACCATATCAGATAACTCAAAGAACACTTCCAGAAGATGTTATTGGGTCTCTTTATTTCTACTACGAGAACATGGCACTTGCTCCAGTTAATGTTTGGATTGGAATATCACAGTACTTATTCGATGTAGAGCCAGAATTTGTAGATTCGAAGCATTTTCATGCTACTATACTGAAAAGGGGCTATATTCATAATCTGCCAATTGA